AGAAAAATTAATTTTGGAATAAACTTTGAATTTAATTGAGTTGCTGGCCTGAGCTGTGGGTGTTTTTATTGCTTAATTGTTTACAACTTTTCTTTTCTGAAACTTGTTCAATGCAAAAAAGACCTGTGTTGCAGAGTGAGCATATTGAGCATTATTTTGCTTGCTATTGATGGTTTTGAAGTGATTGCTTCTATGATACTTCACTTTGTAGCACTAGCAAAATCATATTAGTCCTACAGTCTTGAATTGTCTTTATAATTAATAGTGCTGCCAAGAGTCTTCTCTTAAGGTTTTTATTGTTAGAGAAAATGAGTTCCAAATCACAGAGTAGTCATTGGCCAAGGGGTGGTCTGTTCCTACATGCAAGGAGAAATGCCTGCTGTGTTTCAGCTACTTTGTCTTCTGGGCAAAAACTGCAAGGTTTCTGCTTTGCTGTAAACTGAAATGGAATGTACTGTTTGCACTCCTTAGCCCCAAGTTCATTTAAATTGTGTCTCCTTGAGGTTCAGAACTGATGAACTTTGCCTGACAGAATCCTGGTCCTGGATGTTTTGTGATCAGGGTAAACTGAAGCCAGTTTGACAGCAGAAGGTGTGGCTTGTCCCGTGGCCAGGAGCTGACTCATCATGTAACCCAAAGGAGGAACACTGTCCTTGTGAACTTTCTTACTTCTCAGGCTCAGAGAATGTGAACAGTGGTAGCAGGAAATGGTCCAATAGCAGCAAGTCAAAGTTAACTATGGAGTACTGTGTGGAGAGGTAAAACTGGCAGTGAGGGCAAACTAAGCAGATCTGATTGAGCAGCAGAAGGAAACCTGCATAGTGACTAACTTTCCCAAGAGCTGGTATGGATTTTTGTCAAAAATCTGCATTTTTTCTATTTTTGTTTTTAGCTCTAAGCAATGTAGAATCTTACTCTGTTCTCATGCCATTGGGCATCTCTACTTACTTTGCTTATTCACCAGGAAAATGCCCACAGCTGAGATGAGAATCAAGTCGGTCACTTTACTGCAGTAGTAATGATGAATTATGCTTGGTGCAACACTGTACAAAGCTGTATTTCTGATGAGTGAAACATAAAACTAAAAGAGGAAATAGAGGGGTTTAAAAGAGAATAGGTGTATTTTCAGCCACTTAATAGTCCTAGATCCAGAATCATGTAAAAATTACATTACATTACATAACAATTACAGTGGTAATTGTTCTAATTTACTTTGGCTGTTCAGCAATAATATTCTGCACATGGAGACACTGTTCAAGAACAAAGGAAAAAGAGTGAAAAAGGCCCTTCCAGAATACCTATTGGGAAATAGTTTTGCTGAAGACCTGCACTGGTGGTCAACTTCTCTGTGCAGACAGCCAGTTTTGCATCTCATTGAAATCACTGCAGAAACTGTCACATTCAGTTACTGGATGAAGAAAGATTGTTTCTTATTTTCTGATGGTCATTTTTCATCCATGGCTGTAAATATTTAGTGATGTGCCAATCAAACCTGTCCTATTGCAGTGGAAGCCATTTTCCTGCAACATCAGAAGAGAAAGCACAAAAAAACAGTTACTGTGATGCAGTAAAGCATGATGGCAGCTGGTTTTTGTTTTGTTTTGTGTATGTGTTTGGGAAATGAAATGTGTTCAGTTAAGTCATTTCCCTTGATTCTACACCTTCCTTCATTCCCTGCTTTGTTCTGCTGTGGAATATAATGCATGGGTTACACAGAGATATGATTGCAATTCATATTTTTGTGACTGAAATGCTGTTTGCTAATACAAGTGATGGTAACAGCAAGTAATATTGATAGATTTTTAAAACTTGAGCTGTTCCTTTAGTGAGCAATTGCATGGTCAGTCCTGGCCAAGCAGCAGAGGCTCCTACAGCTGCTGCCTCTGGGTGCTGCTTTCCCAGGTGGCAGATTGAACTAGGCCTACAAAAACCTTCTTTTACAGGATAATACAAGCAGGAATACCTCATTAACAGCTGATTTATCTCTTTGAGGGAATTTCTGTTTTGATTAGTGGAAGCTTTCTGATTTAAAGGAAGAAACATAACATAAAAAGGAATATTTTATCTGGAGTTATTTCAGTGCAATTGGCCATCAGGGAATAATTTGCCAGAGTCAAATCTTGTATTGCACCAGAGGCATCCCAGACTGTGGTCTGTAAAAAGCATGGCATTCCTGCTAGATGTCATTCCATATTTTGTGTTGTCTTTTTCCTGAGAAGTCTCAGCCTAAGGAAATGGAAGCCTGCAGGCATTGAAATCTCAGTAGGGTGACCTGTTTACTAATGATCCTTTTTCTTCCCTCACGTATATGAATCTAGTGAGGAGGAACACTGCAGTGATACATAAAAAATTGATAGAAATCAAGCCACTCAGATACTACTTCAAACCATGGATCAGGCAGGACCTGCAAAAGAAAGAGGCTTGATGTAATGTTCTAACCAGAGGACAAAGTCCCACGTGTGCAGCATGTTTGTGCTGTGGGAAGCCTTGGTGTTAGTTTCAGTTGCACACACACATTCTCCTCACTCTTGCTATCTATTAATAAATTTTCCCAGCTGACAGTTACACCTCAAAAAAGCTGCTGTCTCATTAATACTTGTAATACAAGCTCTAAACAAGTCTGATATATAAGTAAGAAGGAAGAGGGTTTAGATCCTCTTTGTTCAAAAGTTTCAGGTCATTTTCAGTATGTCTCAAGTGATGCTCTTTGAACGTGACAGAAAAATTTTGGGAAGAGAGATTTGTGGAAAGTGTTTGGAGGAGACTGACTCTGACTGCACTGAGCAGTTGCTCTTCAATCATTTCCAGCACACAGGTGAGTTTACACATTTAGAGAATCCAAATTCATCAATGCAGTTTCCAAGGTTAAATATGATTGAGTCACAGAAAGATCCCACTAGTATTTTTTTTCTTTCTCTTGTAGATGCTTTCCTGACCCACATAGTTATTTTGTTTGCTACACTTCTCCTGGCAGCAAAGGTCACTTAAGAAATTTTGACACCATATTTTTCCACCCACTCAGTAATGCTGTCATGAGTTTGTGAGGTTGTGTTGTAAAATGGTACAGAGAAGTTACCAGGGCTAAAAATAAACCTTTCAGCCAACCCCTTTTTTTGTGTGCTAGTTCATTTCATCTCTGACAGGAGATGCTTTGGACTAGAACCAAAGTGTCTTTTAGAGTAAATACAAGCTGCTATCAGCACTATGGAAAAAGCTTTACCCAGTTTCTAGACAAATTATTCTGCATGTTGGAGCTGCCAGCTGCACAAGTCAACACTAAGTTCACAAATGCAGTAATTGAAATACAAAATAAAATACTTTTTCCTTTGGATTTACACATGCATCTTTGATGCATCTTTGTGTATGTAAATTTTTAGTGAAATCTACATCTTTGATCAGTACTACCAAAGCATGGATGCAAGCAGAATTATTTACATAATAAAATAATATCCTTAAATATAAATAATTTCCTTTAATAAATCCCTTTAATAATTTGAATTTTAAGGTATTTATTCCTCACTAGTTCTAAAAGATGATAAACAGGTCAGCTGATACCATCAGAAATGGGGCTAGCCTGTAGCACTTTGTGACATTTATCTTTGCTATCTTCTTCCTCTTAATTCTGCATGGCAATCTAAATATCACTGAAATTATATCTGTAAGGTAGATACAGAGAAGTAGATGAGCTGGTGCACTGTGCTTTTGTTGCTGTTAAGTGGAAAGAACAGTGCCTGAGGCTCTAAATGTGACTGTGTCATCATTACAAAATGTTCATTTGTTTCTGGGCACCTGCCCAGTGCTACTAAAACCTGATATTAGTTCTAGGAAATTAGTAGCTGACAGATTCTTAATCAAGTTTTTAATGTAACTGATTTATATTCTATGTTCTATTTGATTTACTTTTTTATTTACTTTTTATCTTCTATTTATGTTCTATTTGATTTACTTTTTTTATCTTTTTTTTTCCCTGTCATTTGACATTATCCAACTGAACATGTTTGCAGGACAAACTTTTCTGGCCTGGTAACTGCATTTGAAACATTGGATAAGATGGATAAGTTAAGAAACAAATGCAATGTTTTGTCTTCCAGGGAATGTCTCTGGCCAGGCCATACAAGTGTTTCTGGGTTGGAGCCAAAAATCAGTGCTGGCGAATATTAAGCAGCTTAGAGTTACCTGCATGTGCTGAAAAATTTTTCATAATTGGTGGCAAATAAGTTTTACCCTTACCTTGATGAGGAAAATGTAGATAATTTTCTTTTAACCCATGCTTATAATCTTCCTGAAATGAGCTGTATTTAATGCACATGGCACTGGTGTTGCATTAAGGCAGCTGCACCCACAGAGGTGATGGTTGATGCATTGCATGCACAGCATAAGGTCCCCAGTGGTGCTGCAGGATGCTGGGGCCACTTTGAGTGGGATCATGGCACTCAGCCTTCCTCTGCTGCTCCTGCCAGTAGGGCTCTGCTGCTGTTAAGGCAAAAGTACAAAAGTACTCACAGGAGGGAAGAATTCAGGCAACATTTCAGCAAGGAGGCAATGAGCTGTATGATAAAGAGAGATAGGAGCAATGTCAGTGTAACCCATGTGCAGTCATTGTCTCTGGCTTTGGACGAGATTCACCTGGTTGGATGGAAGAGGCTGCTGACAAGCATGTACATAGCAGCTGAAGAAACCTCACCTTTCTAAAGTGCTGTTAAATGAAAGATTTTAGGACAATGGCAAATGCTGTCGTGAAACCACACAGGGAAAACCAGCTCTTTATGCCATACCAGAAGAGAGTCTAATCTAGGTTGAAGAGCAACCAGCTACAACACAGTTTAAATGTTAAAGAAGAAATTAGTTAATTTCAAATACGATGACTGAGTTCTGAAACAGCAGTTTCACAGAGTGTAGGGAAAAATTGGGTTGCATTTAGGTTGTATCATCATCACCACTTAAGGGAAGAGGAAGTTAAGCCGCAAATTTGACGTGCTTTCATTTGGTGTTTTGCTGATCTTCAACCACGGCAGCCTGATGCAAATGTTAATAATTCTGCATAATGATCATAATTTCAATGAAACTTATTTTAACAGTGGGTTTTGGCTGCTTAGGTAAGTGTTGGTTTGTTATTGGGGGTTTTTTGTTGTAGTTGTTATAGTTGTTTTGTTTTAAATAAGTTGCCTGTAATTCTTGAGCTGGATTTAAAAAAAAAAATTATGGTATATCTGCCTCAAATACACATGTGAGACAAGGAGAATATTAACTGTTTTTTCATAATGCTGAAAGCAAGATTAAAAAGCATGAGAAATCAAAAAGCATTTTCACAAAGAAATTGTTTCAGGGAAAGCATAGAGAAACAAATTGAACACTTCAACACCAAAAATGATGTTAGGTTGATATATGCACCATCTTTTTAGGACTTCTGACTTGAGTATTTGTTATGAAAAATGCTGAATGTAGAATTTTAAACTGTTGAGGAGGATTTTTCTAGATCACAGAGGTACTGAAATACAACGCAGACAAGGATTCATAATTCTTTATTGTTCAATACAAATCACAGTGGAAAATGCTGAAGGTATTCCATATGAGTTAAAAAATTAGATAAATTTTTTTTTCAGTGATATTTTTCAGAAAAATAGTAAAGATAGAAATTGCACAATTGTGTTTTAAACAACAAATGAAATGAACAGAAAAACTGAAATAGGTGATTATTTCTTTAAATTGAACAGCTACTGGATTGTCATTTACACACTACATCAATTATTTCCCTTTTTTTTTTCTGCTGCTTATATTACCCCATACTGTCCATATTGTTCTCTACAAGTTTTTAAGTGTTGCATTGTAAAGATGGAGGTTCCTGACTCCTTTACTTGTGATGAATGTGTGGCTTCTTCTATAGAAAAAATAGAAAAATTTATTTGCATTTTTTGATAAAACTAATCAGATGCCATTTTAGGGTGAGATATGAAAAAAATTTGTCTAATTAGTTATGTCTTGCTGTGAAATGTGCCTGAGTGATAAACAGGATAAAATTTAGAAGAAAATCCTACCATTTTCTCTTATTAGTTCTTCACTTGAATGTTGCAAAGGATAGAAAAAGGAATTATAATTCTCCATACAGCATATGAAAATAATTGTCTCAGCAGTCATGGGAATAGATTTTATAGGATTAGCACTTTTGTAATGAGCATCAATGCCATTAGAATATAAAAAGAGTTATCTGATACCCACACAGTGGCTTCACTTTAGAAGAAAATGTTTTGTACATATATTGCACAATGTCTCATGTGTCACTTACTTTGCATGCTGACAGTGAGAGAAAAATGGATTGAAAGCAGGAAGGAACAAAAAGTTTGATTTCTACTGATACTGTCCAAGTCTGCCTTTTCTTAGAAGCCAGACAAGAGACCCAATGATCTGTGTGGCTTCTCCTATTAAAGGAAGGAGGTGAATTTGGTGTTATAAACTACTTGTCAGCAAGTGCTTAATGGAAGAAGTTGAAACCAAATGAAAAAACACACCTCTAAAATGCTGTACACTTGTCATTCATTAGAAGCAGTGCTGGACAAGGCTCCTACATAGGGTCAAAAATTGCAGTGTCATTTTTCTTTAACCTTGATGAGATTTTCACTATTGACTAATGAATCATTCTGAATTGCTCCTTTTGTTTCTTCTTTATCTGGCAGAGAGTGTTTAATATGCTTCAGACTCAATCTGTTTTTATCAAGTGTTTTCCTGAAAATAAAAATATGTTTATCAGCAAGCATGCAGAAAATATTAATTTCTTGCACACAAACAATGATGGAGGACTTTAACGCATCAGATTAAAAGTTTACTTTAGCCTGAAAAAATTGCTGTAATTCAAGGGAGAAGTAAGTAGAAAGCTTGAAAATTAATGTCATCATGATTTTACAGTATTACTTGTTGTTATTTTAAATATTTATTTTAATATTGAAACACTTCTTTATATTTAAATTATTTCTTTTAAATACAGCTTTAATGACATCTCTTTGTTGTTTTACCTTTTAAATCTATATGTATTTCTCCATAGCTATAGATCCCGATAATTTAAGAGTCATCCAAACACCAACAAACATAAATCTATCAGTTGGAGACTACACTGAAATCACCTGTATTTGGGAAGAAGCTGTTCAGAGGTGTAGAGCATACTGGAATTTTGTTAATAAAATGAACATCACTAAAAGTATATCATCAAAACTTCTCTATTTGTCCAACATCACCCATGAAAACAAGGATGTGCTAGTCATCAAATCTGCCAATGTAAATGACACTGGATTTTACTACTGTGAGATAATTATTGAAATACCTTTCCTTAAGAAACTACGTGGAAATGGGACAACAGTGGTTGTCGAAGAGAAAGGTAGGCTGGCAAAAACATGTGAGTGCCATATCACTTGTCATCAGAAAGATTCTTCAGTTTGAGCCATGTTATGCATTTCCTGCGCCTCCCACCTTCCTTCCTCCACACTTTGGATCTCTGGGTGAAAGAGACAGACACAAAGAGGGACTGAACAACTTTTAATGGCAAATGACTTAAACTCTCTGCCTTAATATCTCCTGTGTAGTGTTTGCTTTCCTCCATAAGGATTTGCTAACAGGAATTATTGCCTAAGGTTTACAAAAAGGCTGTGCATGAGCTGTGTGTTTTGCACAAGACCCAACACAGTTTCTCCTCCTCAGAGGAGGAGGAGGATAGGTGTGAGACACTGAGTGAATCTGCTTGTGCTTACAGGGTCTGCAGTGATCACTTGGTTACTCTGCTCAGTAATCTGGAACCTTTACTAACCATTTTTTTTTTTATTACAAGTTCTTAATGAAAAGTGATAAATAAATCAATATGGATAATGGAGCAGTATGGGCCCTATAAGGATTTGTGTCCATAAAATTGTGGCTAATTGTTTTATATGTGCTGTGTCTCCCTGTTCTACCAAAGCCATATGCTAACTTTTACAGGGGAGCAGTTTAAGGTCCCAATTCTGAGTTAAGCATTGAAAAACATGAATGCAATTAGTATTCACACACAACTAAAATTTTCAGCAATAGGAGTGAAATCTGTTTATCCTTAAATTATTAATACAGTGTGAGACACCCAGAAGACAATTTGCCTCTCTCCTGTTATATAGCTAAGTGAAGGCATTATGCACCAGTTCTGGAAGATGCTGATCTTCAGCTCTCTTTATACCCCTCAAAAGCAGAGAATGACTAGGGGACTAGCTATGGTTAGACCTTTAGCATTACCAAACTTCACTCACTTGCTGACTGCTCAAGTCACATGAAGCCTTTCCAATCCTGCAGTACGCTCCAGTTTTGTACAGTATTTTATACCATGGGTCAGCTGGCTCAAAGGGAAACACAAAAATTATCAAGATTTAGAAAATATCAGTGCCAGAGAATCAATGAAATAGTATTCAAAATTGTGGGAAATGAATGTAGGTTATTTTAACTCTCTAACAGTGTTTTAATGTTCTAAAATGAGTTAGGGAATCTGATCTCTTGCTTGGTCAAGTACAAGCAGAAAAGACTGGTGTTAAATACTGTGGGGAGGGGGAATGTGGATCTGCAGGAGCTGTAGGAGGTACTGACATTATTGTTCATCAGGCATGCATCCCTCAGAAATGGGAAAGTGACCTTGCACCTGATTCAGTCTTGAAATAATTTTTAATTTTACCTGCCTTTTCTTTTGCTGTGATGTTGATGTTTATTTTATCTTTGACCAGTACATCACCTTATTTAAAGTTTATAATTGCAGAAGCTCACTCACTGGAAAGGAGGTATTTGGAAGCATGGGCCATCCTTCCTTTTTTAGTGGCAGAGGGAAGCTTGTATCTTTGCTACAAAAAGAAACAGCACTCCACCCTACCTGGTGAGTTACAATATTTCCATTAGCACATATAAGTTACCTGTTTGGTTTGAGATGGCTGGAGAGGGACACTGAAGAGGTATTTCAGTGTACAGCTTTGCTCACCTGGTCTGCTGAGGCATCTCGAGCTGACAGGAGGGATCAGAGGCTCAGCTTGTAGTTCAGGTGAGTGCTCTTTCAGCCACTTGCTTTCATTATTTACCTTTTAAGGAGAGCCATCACTTAAGCTGAAGATCTTAACCTGGCTAGGGTATACAAGGATATCAGTTCTGATCATTTCTTGCTGATTTTTGACTGAAAACGTAAGGAGCCAGAACATAGCTCTGCATCATGATCTCTCACTCCTGATAGTGACAACTGGAAGTGACATGTGAAAGACCCAGCTTTGAACACTAAGTTCTCTCTTTTCAAGCTTTGATTTCCTTTTAGTTAACTATTAATTTGGGTTGATAGGGGGTTTTGAAGGGCAGTTTTGTTTGCTCATTTGGGGTTTTTTTTGTTGTTGGGTTTGGGGTGAGCAAGCACTGACTGCAGCTTGGGTTCTATCAGGTGCTGCACTGCCTCCTGTGCTGACAGCAAGGCAAGAGCAGGAGCAGAGACTTGAGGTGGAAGAGCCTCCTGGGAGAAATGAATCCACCAGGGAAGCAGCTGAGGAAAACTCATCATCCAATTCTGCTGAATGGGTAAGAGGCTTATAAAAAGACTCATGCTGTGAGAGGGTTTTCAAAATGATGCACTGGGAAGTGGACAGAACAGAAAGCACACAAGGACCTGCTGTTCCTAGGACAGCATCTTCCTACACATGAAAAAGGTTTAAAGAAAAAAACAAAACAAAACAAAACAAAACAAAAAAAACCCACACTCAGAAATAAGAAGAGGGATATTTATGTAGTAGGAAAGTATTGAAATCTATTATAGTTATTTAACACTATAAGATTGCCTGGAGAAGAGGGCAGCAAAAAGTGGAGAATATCAATACAGAGAGTGAGTGAAAGAAAGAAATGCAGGTGAAGTAAAAGTGGCAAGAGAATCCCTTTATGTGTAATTTTGTACCAAGCTCAAGGGGATTGGGCCAGCTTCAGCTCAAAGGGTCATTAGAGCAGGCAACACTTGCTGGGAGCAAGTAGCAGATTTCTGGCAAGCTCCTTTTCCCCTGCAATTATTCATCTTTTAATTACATTGAAGCACAAATTAGGCAAGGGAATGAAGCCCTAATTTAACCCTTTCATAGGCAGGCAGAGTCTTCATTGCAATCAGCTGGACAGGGCAAGTCACACAGAAGAGATGAAAAATGTTCAAGCCCATGGTCACAACTGCACTTCCTGAGCTTACAGATTCCCAGGTTCTCCTGTAAGGAAGCCTGGCTGCAGCCTTGATTTGGTCACATTGGTAAGAGAAAATATCAGCATGCAGGTAGTGAGACAGTAATATCCATCTTTTTCTGAGCAATAGTCATTGCTCTAAGAAAAAATATCTGGGAAAATTCATTATCTGTAAGTAGATTGCCACTGAAGCCAAGAGACTTGCTTTTACTGGAGATATCATAGTAGAAAATTACAAAAATATAAGTCATAATATGGTCTGGTCACAGTAATAAATTATTCTAATTGCTAGTTATGAAGGTATTGCTCTTCTTCTTGTTAATATTTAATGAAGATGTAGGAAAACAAGGCTGAGAATGAGAAAACAAGCATCCTAGGGGGTGCTGAGTGAAAAGTTCATTAGTAGCCAGTTACTGCTCAGGATTTGTCTGGATAAGACTACTCCAGAGAATGTGTGATTGCAATAAAAATCTTTTACAGCTGCCAGTAATTTAGCAGCTACAATTTAGCAGCTACCAGTCACAGTGATCTGTCATGGCCTAGGTTCAGTATTTTCCTTCATGTAACAGCCCTTTTTGCTATTTTAGTGAAAGCAGAAAGAGTGGATTCATAGTACCACCTTTTTAAATGTTCAAGCATAATTAGATGTTGTAAATAATTCAAGAGATACAGTAGGTTAGTAAAGCCAGTACATACCATGTGTATGGACACCACATTTCAAAACAAATTAAGCCAGTAGAGATGAGCAAATATTATGGTATCTCTGGAATTTCACTTACTACCTTTCAATTCTATTGCAGAATATTATCACTTTAATTTTTTTTTCTGATTGTGAGAAAATCTCTACTTACTTGGGAAAAACTAGTCTCATACTGGTTTTTAACATAACTTACACTTTTCTTTGTAAGTTTGGAAATTTAGTGAATATTCTGAATCTGTTTGGGCATCATTTCTAGAACAGTGAACATGAAGGTTGTATCTGCTTCTGCAAGACTATTTACAGTCTCCTGTTTTGTTTACAATTCTTGTGTTGGAAAGGCAATCCTGTAACACAAATATTGAATCAAGCTATGGATTTTATTCTCACCTGTATATATATATATGTCACAGCAACCCTGAGCAATTAGGTCAGGTGACAACACACCAAGGTAACTTAACCTGGGAGTGAACATCCTCATGGCAAAGCTGGATCCTGTAGCACTTGTCTCTGGAGAATCATCCCATGTTTCCTCAGCTGAGATGCTCAGGGCGTGTTTCCCATAGTGTTCTGCCAGCTGCAGGGGAATTTGGCCTTTGAGGGAGTTCCCAGTGCAGTTGATGATTTTTTTCATCTAGTTCTGCAGGTTCCAGCCAAAATCTAAGCACTTCTGTAGCATTAACACAAACTTCCAGCTCATGGTAACATGCATAATGCTCACTCTTGACTGGGGGGCTCTGGTTATTCAAAGTGCACAGAACTGTGATCCAGATTAGTTGGCCATCCCTGCCATGCCTCCTGTATGACATTTGTCTGGCAGGTACCTCTCTGTGCTGAGTATGGTCCATCAGAACACTGCAAACCCCCACAGCAGCATGTGAGGGTGAAGACAAAAAGCCACTTCATCACTTGCACCCATTTATTTGTTTATGCCATCTCAGCTTGAGAATTTGATTTTATATGTCTGTGGGAATAGGTCTTTATATACATTTCAGGCAGATTTTAATTCTCATATTTTGCTAAAGGACTTACCTATGTATGTTTGGGAATAGGATGACTTTTGCACTGTCCAGAAGAGCACCTGAATACCACAGCAGTGTGCTATTTATTGCATCAAAAGAGCATCCCTCCAGAGGAAAGAGTATGATGAAGTGTTTTGGAAATATCAGAGTTAAAAGATTAAGGGGGTAAAAATGTTTTCCATTTTAGAATTCATAGAATCTGATCTACCCTGGAATATGACATCTTTAGTATTCAGAAAAAGTAATTTGTGCCTGCTGCCTAATTAACTAAGAGAATTGAATCTGAACATAGGAAGGCTTTGCCTTTCAACATTAACATGGAAACATTCATTTCCTCTGTAATTGTAACTACATGGCCTGCATTTCTTTGTTTTCCTGGGGCTGTGCTGTGTCATGGGTAAAAGTTCATACTACATCTACTTTATGGGTAAGAGTCTTGACTGACATTTTCTTTGCTTTTTAAGGCTGTGTCTATGCTTTATGAATCACTTGAAATTATTTGCAATGAATCAGGAGGAAAAGATGACAAATCCACTGTGACTACTGTATCTAATGGAGAAGATGAGCAAATCCCACAAACTAGGGCAGCTGAAAAGCCTAGAATGAGACAAGAATCTTCTACCTACCTTGACATTCAGAACTAAACAAAATATGGCAAAATAACTATGAAACTGAAAAATATGATAATTTGCTGCTGCAAGATGGATTACATGTTTCCTGTCAAATGCTTGTCAGTGGGACAATATACAAGAAAAACAGTTGGCTCTAAGCAGGTTTTGTGTGTTTTGTCACTAACAAAACATTCTAAGGAGTCTCTGAATTTAGAGGATATGTCTTTTAGGAGACTGTCTTCAGCTCTTCCTCTGGTGTCCAGAAATACCCTGTTTACCATACTTTGAAAAAAAACTTCTGGACTGAACAACATTCTCCAACACAAGCATTTCTTCAGGAAGCCCAGGAATGAATAGGAGATGGTAGGGACAAAAATGCATGGAGTCTGAGCCCTGAAACTGTCATCAGTTCTGACCACATCATAGACAGAGGGGAATGCCAGAAAGGATTATATTCCTGTGGAAAGGGACTGTTAGTGTTAATTCATTCACAAACTAGGAAAAGTCTTCCAGAGAACGAAGTCTCCTACATACAATGAAATATTATAATTAAATGAAGCTATATATATATATATAAAATGTGTAATTATTGTCTAACTGGTTGAGGACGGCTGCTTGCAGGAGATGGGGTGGTAATGTTTGTTCTACTTTTGCCAGCTTTAAAACTTTTTCAAAAAATCATTGAAGAAAAACCAAAGCTGAAAACTTTGGTTTGCTACACAAGAAAACCATAATCTGTAAAATGGTGACCTTCAGCCCAAGTCCCTGTTCAAGCAAGCTCTCAGTTATGCACCAGAGCTGTAAGTGGGTGCAGTAAATTTTGGTCTTTCTATGTACTGCTGCTTACTTCTGAGTTTAATCACAATGCGATGTACAGTTTTCAGGAAAAATGTTAAAGAAAAGCACAGCTTAATAGTCTCCAAATCCTATTTTCATTAAATTTTGATTAAATGTGCCTCCTAACAGCAAAGAATGCTGCCTTCTTAACAGCTACTAGTGTTTTGTATGTTAACATGGTCATTTCCAACATCTGTAGAAGACTGCACCCAATTTATCATTACCTATTTTTATCTGTGGCTGGCAGTGGTGGCTATGAGCCAGCAGAGTATTTTAGAGCTCCAGCTTTTGACACCTCTGCCTCAAATATATTAACTTCTCTGCTTCTGTGCCACTTGGGAAGCAATAAATCCTTCTGTGTTTTAGTTCTTCTTGGCTGTTTTGTTAGCTTTGAAACAAAAACAGCACTCTGTAATTAACCTCAGGTCACGTTCTAGCATGCAGTACGATCTCAGTTTTAACTGCCTGTTTAGCTGATGAGTATATAATGAATAAACCTGCTTAATAATAGAACTTGAAAACAGTCCTGGGCCCTTGCTTTTAGCCATTTTATTGGTTATTCTCTTTTGAACAAGCTGCTGAAAAATGATGGTTCCATTCCATTTAATTTGATGCCCAAAGTCCTGTGTTGAGCACAGGCTGAAACACGCTGATTTAGGAGCAAGTCTGGCACAGTGAATTCAAAAGCCTTGTGTGTGCTCTATGCTTTTAATATCTCACCAATGTACTTGGCTTAGTCATAGTCCTACAAATGAGGCTCCCTCTCTGCTTCTGTCACGCTCCTGACACTGGTTTGCAGAGCTAGTACAGCCTACCTGAGTCTGAACTCTCTCTCTTCCCAATCCATTGCAAAACCGTGCAAGGAGTCACATCTTATTTATTCTGCCTAGCACTTGGGTAGCTGCTCTCAGTGACTGAGTATGATCCAGCTTGCACATTTTCTTCCAAGCCCTGGACTGGGGTTCCTTCCTCTCGTTGGAAGAAGATTATGGAGCAGGCATTCCCGGCTCCATTACAGCAAGGACCCTCAGTGGCAGGCAGGATGGTGAGGTGTCCCAATGAATGTATTTGCAGAACAGCCCTGTTTGTGTGTGGTGTTGTGGCTGATGCTCCTGTGCCTGATAACGGGGCTGTCAGAACAGCAACGATGTTGTGGATTAACCCTGTCTGGCAACTGAGCTCTGCACAGCCACTCTCTCACTCCTGCCTCCCCTGGGTGGTTACAGCCAGGGCAGCTGTAAAGGGCTTTTTATTATCATTGTTTCTACTAAGCACTCTTCTATCAGTTCTTTGTAAACAGGAAACTGCAAATGCGACTGACAAACAAATACTCAGATCAAAAGAATGTGAAGCAATTTCTCTAATGAAGAGAAAGGGCAGGTGATTATTTGTCAGTGTTTCTTGTTTTCTACATAATGTGAAATGCTGAGATGGGAGGAAGGATTTTTATGAACACTCAAAATAAAACAGCTTTGGCTAAGTTGCTGTGGTCTGGTGCTGTGTGCTGGTGAATTTTGTTGGCTGAGAGAATGTGACAAAAATTAGTTCCTTGTCTGTTTTCCAGAGCAGAATCTGTTGGCAGGGCTTGGCAATACTTTATACAGCCAAAGCTGCCCTTCCTATCCTTGTTTCAGGAAGTATTCAACTCCACAGAGGTGGAGGAGTATAAAAAGGGTAAGGCAGAGAGACAACACGTGCAGCATCTGTGTTAGGTATTATTCAAGGACTTAGGACAGGCAGAGATTAGAGGTATGACTGAACAACTTAAGGGTTTTAAATCATAACAAAATACTGGGCCTGTCACGTACATTTGCTCTGAAATATTGTCTATTCTTTTGCCTGCTGATGTCCTTGTCTTGCCCTAACCTTGAATGCTCAGCTCCACAAGCCAGGAAAGCTATATCTGTAAATTGCCAGGCCTAACACAACTGCAGTCCATGGTTAGGGTTTCTGATGCTGCTGTGGAAATAAATCATGAAAGCAACTAATATGTGTTGCTCCCTCTTTTTAGCTTTTAATTCTGGAGAGAGGAAAAAAGCCATAAGCTTCTCTAACAAAGCACAAAATGGTTGGGTAGTAGGGTGAAAGACACTCCAAAAATACCCAATTTTTTTATTTTCTCAGATAGAAAAGCTTTGCTTTTTCAGTTTAGCAGCTGTACAATATTAAAAGTTGTCATTTCAAGTTTATTTTTGAATACAGACTAAGCTTAATCTAAACTGCAGATCTAATCTCAAAGAGGGGCTGCTATCGAGGTTGTTCCTGGGTAGGAAGGGTTGCAACAGCTTTCTCACCTCACCTTCAGCTGAGCAGTGTGGTCACAGTTGTGTGAGTGCTCAGTCTGGGTGCTGAGCACGGGGACATCACACAGGTACAGCTTGTTCCTGGGACACCATAACCAGTGTCCTGGCACAGCAATGTCTATCCTAGTTAAGACACATACCAGGCAGGACATCTAGATAGGTATAAGCATATTCAAAGGATAAATTTTGGCCAAAATAATGCAGCTCCTGTGTTTGTATTTGTGACCACATTTTCTCAACAGAGTCAAGCATGCTGTCTTCTAGGTGAGACTATTCATGGTTGGATTCCCCTCTCCAAAGCAAGGATTCTCCCACTTCTGTGCAGATAATTTTTTATTTTCCTATTTGTTGAAAGCTTTCTCTTTTTCTGATGAGTGAAATCTGAAGTTAAATGATCTGTTACAAAAGTAGGCTCTAGTTCCATTTCCCACCCCTGCTTCCAGTATTTCTGAGCCCAGCGTTTTCTGCCATTAGCAGTGACAGAACTGCAAAAAAAGCCCCACTCCTTATCAGTTGCACTGCACTCTGTGATTGCTTTCAGGAAACTGAAAGCAGCCAGCTCTGTGAAATGCGTGTGCCTGGGGAACTTCCACTCCGGCATTTGCCTTGTAAATCTCCCTGGCAGCATCTATGGATATCACCTCACTTTACACACAGTTCTGGAATAGTAGGTCAGTCCTACCCGGATCCTCAGTGTACACATAAATTCATATTTCAAAATAAAAGAAAACAGTTTTTTAAAAAGGGAAATGCATAGGCATTTCTTTGATGTGTTTCCTGCAGGGATACTCAACACTAAACAACTTTCTCTTAGGTATTCCTTCCTCTCAGAAAATTTTTTTGTACAATGAAGGACAAAGTGTATTGCTAATTCATAATTAAGCATGACAGCTAACAGAGCCAAAATATTCCTCCCTGCATACAGAAGTTCCTTGAGAGCTTTGTTGGAATTGGCTTATTCATTTTTGCATGTTTTACCTCTCTATAATAAATAGGAACTTCCTTTAAAAGGTATACACAGTTGCTTTAATTGTTACAAAACAGCTATCCTCCCTCATAGCTCTTTTTGAGCCTTTCTGATTTTTCCTCTCTTTTTCTTTTCCTTTTCTTTTTATTTTCCTCTTTTTTTTTCTTTTCCTTCCTATTTTCTTCTTTTTCCCCTATTTTTTCTGCCCATGCTATAGACCAACTTTTTGCTATGCTCACCACAGCTCAGCAGGATTGGCTGATAGCTAAGTGGGATTTTACATAAGTGTTAAAGTAGAGCAAATGACACTTGGGCTGCTGGTGAGAGACTGGCTGAGGAATCAGATTTAGAAACTACAGCACTTGTGTGGACAACATTTGGTTACTTTAGGGGGTGACCTCTTTTTCTGTCATTACAACCAAAAACAAAAATTATTTTTGGAACACTTAACATCAAGAACCCTAAAACTGAAGCATAAAAGAACCCTGCAAAGAATGGCATCCAGGAAATTATTCAAACAAGGAGTGAAAACTAGACAGAAGTATTTACCCTACAAATATTAATTTATTGGCTGTAAATATATTCATTGATTTTACAGTCTAATGTGGCTATGTCTCATGCACTAACAAATGTGTTTGATTACAGTCAATATGCAGTGCTGAGAGTGAGTTTCCCATGGCACAGCTTTGCCAGATGACAGTGTTGTTACTCCAACTCTCAGCTCAGGAAATCACACAGCCAGTTAACTGACCTCAATCTTATCCATTTCACCTGCCTTTAAACTTCACTGAAATGGTATGTGAGCTTATTAATTGCATTTTTAAAATACATTTTTAGGATATTCTGAGAAGTAAATGATAATAAAACAATGAAAACTGGTCTGTCTATAATTTACAGAACCTATACAGTGTGTCACTGAGCAGCACACTGTGCTTGTATGAACTCCTCTTCTGCCTGAGCCCCACCAGTGCCTGTTTAGTCTGCTCTTTTTTGACTTTTTCTGCTAAGCAATGTAGTAATTGCATCATCTGCTCACTAGACGTAAATAAATTCACTGTGTATTGCAGAATTGAAATGATCTTTGTTAACCAGACACAGAAAATTTTGAAAAACAGTGCAAAGTAAATGAATGTGTTTATGCTTGAAGTTCAGTAGATTGTCCAGGACACTGGAAAATTCAGGGAGTTTGATAGTTTTATCTCAACGTGGAAAATGAAATGTTTGTTTATTGTTCAAATGTTACTCTCTTGCTAAGAGGAAAATAAATTGCTTTTCATATTGCTGCCAAGAAACCAGAAAAATAACAAGTTCATAATTTCAGGTTGTTTTCTTCCTCCTCTGCTTCTTCCACCCAGATATATAACAGATTTGTGGAAATTGTCAAAGTCCTTCTTGTGTAGCTTCCTGCACCTTTAGGAATAAGATAAGGTGTAAGGGATGAAAAGCTCTAGCAGAAGTTTACAATTTCACCTATCTCATTTCAACTATTCATCTGGCTGTGACACAACTGGGCCTTTACAGTAGAACTGAAAAAATCTATTTCCTCAGACTTTTTCAAAACAGACACTGCTGCAAAGAACATGGAATAAAATTTATTCTCTAAGAGAATATCAGCACGGTGATACAAATCTCATGTAAGCCTGAATATCTGACCAAATGCCATAAAACTGGGGTACACCTGAATGGATTTTGAAAAATATGCATGTGACAGTCCACATTTTATCTCATATATAATTTAAACTTTTGGTCCAAGTTAGGAGCAGCAAGACCCAATTCTGTATAAATACTCAGTTTATACAAATGCTCATCCAAACTGGTGCCTATGCCATTCTTCAAAGAAAGAAACCTGAAAGAAGCAAATAATGAGTATTATTTATATTATAATTACAATACAAAATTTAAACAAGCCCACAGAAATGGATTCTCTCACTGGGGAGCTGGACAGATGGATTGGCATCAAAATACTGCCAGCTCTCCTATGTGGGCCTTCTATTTGTACTCTGTTTTCATTTTGCAAACAACTGTAATAGTCTGTGCTGTGTGCACAAAGCTGCTATTTTTAATGACAAACAAATCATAAGAAAATATTTAAACAGTACAGAAAGTGTGAATTGAAGACTCTGAGCAGTACTGATGTGTGTGCACGTGCATGAATTCAGATAAAACACACATCAAAAACAAACCCAACCAGGCAGCACTACCATGGTGACCTTTCCGTTAGTAGAAATTCAAGCTCTGTGGTTTATTCTGTGTTTTAGCACTTTTGCAGCCATATCACCAAAAACTGTGAGTCACCTATGTTTGCAGAGGAAAATGTGTGAGAACACCTTCTTGCCCCATTATGTGGGAGAGTTGTGGACATACTGACACATCCTGTTGACTGAAGCTGATCTCCGTCTCTGCCCCTTTGGGAACGTTTTCTTCCTTCTGTGTAGCTAACACTGATATTCATGATTCAAAGTCATAAAAATGCGTGAAATACACATTTTAATTTTAATTTTTTTCCTTTAGATGAAAGAACTTATTTTTCTTTACTGGCCATGTTTATTCATGTTACAGACACATGTCAGAAAAGGACAAAGAAAAGTTCCTGGCACTTGACACACCAGAGAGTGCCTTTGTGTGGGTGTGTGCAAAGACCAGATCATGTTCATAGCTGACAAGGCCAGTTGTTTGTTTTATTCTTGTTTCTTCTGAAGAAGAAACCCCACAGATTTCAACATGCACTTTAATGTAAAAATTTGAAATTTCACTTAGAACCCTCATCCCTGTAAGGCAAATCAGTTGCAACTATGTCATAAGGTTGAAGTCAGGAACAAATAATTTTCATGAACTGTTTGAACAAACCTCAGCAGCCTGAGGTGCTGCTGTGGTTTTTGGGAAATGCAAAATCACTTGTTGGAAAATATAAGATGGAAAATCATAGGATTTTTTTTCAGAATGGTTATAGATTTCTACATACATGGGGTGTGTAGTCTTTCTCTGAGATATTGTTCATGTTAGAGGACAGATTTTGCCTGGGGAACAGGTGGCTGTAGGCATTTGAGACAAAGGAGTTTAATTTTTTAAGTTTTGCTTAATTAAAAACCAAATTTTCCTAACTCATCTCTAGCATATTGTGAGTAGAAAGTTATCTACAAGCATCTTCAAGGATGTCCAAAGACACCCAAACTCAGGTTTAATTTTGGGAATCCATAATCAAGGTCTTGTATAGA